TATTTAACAATTGTATATATTTTTTTATATATTGGTATGAATAAAAAGGCATATGCATGAAAAAGTATCTGACATATATTATTTACATATATAGAGGCTGTTATTGACACATTTTATGATAAAAAGGTTTTTTTTTTATTCCGATACACCACGATGATTGTTTGGCAGTAATTACTGACATTCTTATTCGTATCAAGACTGTAGTTAATTATAAATGTATTCATATTTTGAACGTCAATGTTATACGTTTCTAGTGTGCGTCGTTTTGTCAAATAATATTTAAGACAAAATTACGAACAAAGTGACTGTAAAACTACGGATGCTGTACAAATGACGGGGTAGATGACACACAAGTACTGTACTTTGTGTGTCTTTCATAAATCACAAGGGATGAATGCTTGAAAGACGGAATTCTGCTTTATTGTATTTCACTTGTCTTTTTCTTTCTTTCCTTGTCATAACGTGTTACCTTTTCAATATCATCATTCCAACTGCAACACATATTTCAGTGACGTGCATACATAGCTTGATGATTTGTCAACTAGTTATAATCACATTGATCACATAGGAATAAAAGGCAAAGGAATAAGCAGTGAATGGCAAACTTCTAAACCTGCAGATGTATATACAATACGCATGTATTAACTTGCATTGCAAATTCAGATTTGATAGGACTTGGCATGGATGTCACCCCCTGCCCACTTCCAGTACCTCGTCCTTTAATTAATTTATATTTATTGTCTCTAATGTACAGTTATTTGCAAAGACGATACATTATAATCATTAGCCGGAACAGCAGTATATTCCAATGTATACACCACAAAGACTATGAAGTATACGTGTAGATATATAGTCTCATATGAATTGTGTTTTTTTTTTACCGCGGCCATAGACAAATCATTGACTAATTGCTGTCCACAATATTCATCAGTTGAATAATTGCATTTATAAACTTGATTGAAATTGATAATATCAAAATGAGGTGCACGTATGCGAGCAAATCATTCACACATAGAATAACATTATAACATTTGTACATGTGAAATACGGAACTTTCAGCTAGTGTGAAGCCTCACTTTTGTCAACCACAGTCTTATGCCCGCTGAAGAATAGATATTAGAATAGAGTTAGTATAGAATAGAGTTATTTTCCAGTGAAGAAATGTTATAAAGTCTGACATTTAATATTAGGTTAATATCGGCTTCCATCCACCTGTCCGTCAGCCATATGCCAGTATTTTAATCCTCGTGCGTTGTGTATTACACACACGTGTTTGGAGTTATTGTCTTTCACTCGTCTCTTCTTTGTCTTTCACAATATGTTACCTGATTAATACATATCTTTATGCCACACTACAACATTCTAGATTACAGTATGACACATAAATACATAGATGAGTTTTCATATCAGAACAACGGATGAAACTATCATTATTTGTAAGGCAAAACAATGACAGTTGAATTATGGGAAATAACAGCTTTTTACAATAACTCTATGTGAGTGTGCTGTTTAACATGCTGTACGGTTAAGTAAGTGTCTATGATTCAGAAATTTATAGTGATTCAATCTATGTGCGCAGTTGTTGTATAGTCAATCTATGGTTCTCATAGTTTCTCTGTCATTTACCTCATAAATGTCAACATGAGTGTTGACAATGCTGTTGATTAAATCTAATGTCTAATGTCTATCATGTCTAATGATTTCTTTCATTTAATTGCAATTACTTAAAATGCAAAATACAAATATCAACGAGATTCTCATCATGTCAATGAACCAGGGGAATATTTTGTTCTCGGTGTCTAAAATGCATTTTGTTATCAACAAATCTGAAATGGCGGCTAAAATTGATGCATTGCGATTATACACACAATTATAAAGTAGTCTGCATTATATAAAAATCTCGATTCTATGTTGGAGTAAATATACCATAAATGTTGTATTCTGTTGAATAATAATCACAATGCAATTGCTTCGCAATTTTAATACTACATAGTTCTTATTATGCGGTGATATATGTATTATTTTTTTAAACAGAAAGTGAATGTCCCCCTGGTGTTCCTTTTGTTGCGTGTTTCGTCGACCCTTGCTCAGTCACAGAGTGTCCATTGTTTCCAAACGCACAGTGTATTTCTAACTATTGTGGTGGATGTTATGCTGATTTCTACGTCGATGGCAAACTTGTGGATTGTACAGGCAAGTTGAACAATTGATTATGTTAACACTATGAGCTCGGATTGGATCAAGACTCCCTGCAATATATAAGTTAGAGTTCCCGTCTGTGTAGAGTTTTTATTATAAACACTTGATTGATTTCAGCCTTAAATTGCATCATCAAGTCGGTTAAATCTGTGGAATATAAAGATAAAAATTAAACAAGTGTGTGAAAACCTACTTCTATGGAGCTGTCATGAATTTGTTTTCGCGTATCTGTTGGTCGACTTAATTA